ACGTTGATAACCGCAGTGCTCATCCCTCAGACCTATGACTTGTCTTTAACTTGAACCCCAATGAGCAGGGGGAGCGTTTCTAAACCAGAACCCATTTTCCTCTACATAACACACGACGAAAAGATTTTCTAGGAGTCTCCCATAACTTACTTAAGAAGGCAAACTTTTCAAAGGCGACATTGCTGTGTGTTTTGGTAACACACAGGTAGATGCTGCTAATTACAGGTGTGTGTTCTGTGTTTGTTAAAGAAGTCTGGGCAGGACTGGATGCCTTCAGCAATGGGAAAATGATCCACAGTGTACTGGGTAAGGGTTGGGGGAATGGGTCGGCAATAAAGCTTTTCCCACAGGAGGGAAGACCCCCACCCAGGAGAGCAAGGGAGCGCAGCTGCATTACTTAGCCGCCCCTCTATCTTTTTCCCTTTTTTGTTGTATGAAGTTAAGCCACCAGAAAATGACATATGTTAAAATATTGTCCCAGCCCTCCCACAGAAATGCCCGAACTGGGAAAAAAGGTGTGCCCTCCCTTTTCACGGGGGCTGGATAGAATAAACACACTTGGAAAATGCTTCTACTTTTTTGCAAACCCAAAGTTCACTATGTGTGCAATGGCTTTTTTCTCCGTTATTTTGTTTTAGCCACGACTTTTATATAACTAGAGGACGGACTCCCCTTGAAACTGTCTCCCATGCGGATGACCGCGCGGCTTCTACTCCCCCACCAATGAAATGAGTTCCCTTTCGGGTGTCAGAACCTCGGGGTGAACATTTGCCTCGCTCCTTAAGCCCTCAGCCTCTCTGCCTCAGTTTTAGCTGCGTCCCTTACATGTGTTCAAGGCTGTAAATCCACTCCTGGATGTGGGTGGGGCACAGTCTATAAATAGATCCCGAACGGAGGCATCTTCCCCACCAAGCCGGGAACTGAGGCCATCAGCCTCCGCCCAAGCCCTGGGCAGATTCCTGCCCCCAAGTCAGCCACTCCACTCCCTCTGCGGGGAGGAGGAGATCTGTGGGCCCCGGCAGCTGCCCCCGCCCCCCAGGCTCCCAACTCCAGGAGCAGCACCGAGGACCACAGCCGTCCCTCTGGGCCCAGTTAGTGGACACCAGGCATGGACTTGTCCATGGAGAAGAGGGGATCTGGACCTGAGGATCCTGACTCCCACAACTACCTGCTTAACGTCTGTTACCGTTACTGTTACTGCTTAATGTCTGCTACCGGCTCTCCCATGGGCTACCCTTCCGGATTTGGAGCCACTGCCCTGTTCCCTATAGCCTTCACCGGAAGGTCAGCGAGTGGCATGGTGCGTAAGCGCTCTGGGGCCAGGGCCCAGGTAGCAGCGGCCAGTCCAGCTCACCTGCAGCCCTGACCGCCGGACGACTGAGCACGCACAGCTCTTCAACCCTTTTTAAAACCTAACGCACAATCCGCAAATGTGTACGTTGCAAAATTTCAGACATCCTGTCTTTTTGTCCTCAATGCGATGTCCTTTTAGCTTCTATGAGTGGATCAGATGCCAGGCGGCCGGACGGAACAGCCAGCTCCGCGGGACAACGCGATACAGCTCGCTTCACTCATTTTCTTCCGAAGCTAATTATTACGGCTAAACAGATGAACAGCAACGATGACAGCAAACAAAGCCAGTTGTGCGAACGGTTCCCAAACATCCGGTTATTTAATAAACAGACACAGTCCATTTGGACCCACTGACCTCTGGTCAGAAGTTCGCCATGCCTGGCCTCGGCCCCTTGCTGGTTGACAGTGGTCTACCTGTCACCATCTATTTATGTCACAGGTGAATGCTTTCTGCATATCCACTTAGGGACCAGGCGACAATACAAGCTGAGTAGGAAGGTAATAGCTTCCTCCCTCCAAAGGCTGAGAGGACAGCCGCTTCGAGGCAAGGAGAAGGAGAGGGAGGCAGGATGGAGGTGCTGTTTCCCCAGGGTGGGGGGGGGCGACTCTGCCCCTCCTCTCTCCACCTGGACACATTTAGAAGACAGGCTGGGCACGGGGGGGGGGGGGGGGGGGGGGGGGGGGGGCAGCTCTGAACCACCTGGAGGTGGCCCTCTGGAACCGGGGCCCTTAGTCACCGACTCCATCGAGCTGGCTTGGTGGTCGTGCCCAGTTCTGCAGATCCAGGGGAGCCTGGGTCTCGCTCAGCCTTGGGGAGTGGGGGAGTAACCCCGCAGGATTTGCGGAGCCCTCGTGGGTGCACACGAAGTGGGCAGGGGCGGGGAGGACCTCCTCTGCGACCTGCACCTTCACCAACTTCCACCCCCTCCTGCACTCCCGCCGAGCCTCTTCCCCATTGCCTTCCCTGAGCCTCCCCTCGGAAGCTGGGGTGGACAGGGGTCAACTGGAGGAAGGCCTCGGGGAATCCCAGCCCCAGCGCGGCTGTTCCTGGCCCCAAAGGCACTCGGACAGGACCCCGCATCTCTTGGCCGGGCTGATCTCTGCCAGCTTCCTGCCGCCGGAGCAACCTCCCAGGAGCCGGCTGGACTCGGGAGGGACACCCCACGGTACCCATTCTCCCTGCGCCTGCACGCTGCCTCCCTCCTAGCAACCCCTAGCTTCGGAGCCGGAGTGCCCCCCGCCCTGCGCTCGGCCTCGGCAGGCCGCGCCGCGCTTCCTACCTGGTGCGGTCGGAGCCGGGGGCATCGACGCCGGAGCCGGCGGGCGCTGGCCCCGTAGTGGGTGCAGGGCGAGCGCGAGCTGCCCAGGCGGGTTAAATGCGCGCGGGGAGGGGAGGCGCCGCGGGCAGGAGCGGCCGCGGGCGTTAGCGCCTTGGGCCGCCGGCCGGGCGGGAAGGCAGCGCGGGCCGCTCAGCGCGGCGGGAGGAGCGCGGGCGGCGGGGCCGGGCGGAGGCCGAGGTGGCCGCCGGCGCCCCGCCCCCCCAGCTGGCCAAGCGCGAGTTGGGGTCTCGGGCGCGCTCTGCCCGCCTCCTTCCCGCCGCCTTTTGGCGCGCGTGGACCCCGCGCAGCCTGCCGGGCCGCCCACCCCGGGCTGGACAAGGGCCGGGCGCGGGGGCTCTCCCGCCGACGAGCGGGGACCGCGACCCTACGCCGGCTTGGGGGGGCGGGCAAGGGCGCGCAGGAGCGAGGGCGGAGAGAAGCAGACTCCGCGTCCTAAAGCCTTGTTTTGGCCTAGACGCCGCATTTTCCCGACACCCGGGGCTGCCCTCCCGCCCCCAACCGGCGCTAGGTCCCTCCGTGCCCCGGGCGCTCAGACTCCAAGAACAGGAGAAGGGCCTTCCTGGTCCGCGGAGGGTCCGCCCTAGCTTCAGGGAACAGGGGTGAGGGTCGCGGCCACAGGGCCGGGGGTGGAGGGGTGGATTGGGTGGGGCCGTTTGTCCCCGGGTGGCTCCAGGGGGACTCGGAGGAGGGCGCGACGTCTACACTGTCACCGACCCAAGGTCGTGGCCCCGCCCGGCATTGCAGAAAGTCGGGGACCCTCTGGGAGAGACTCTCTGGCCCCAGCCCACGGCCTTCCTGGGCGGAGGTTGTGACGCAAACACTCCCAGGTCACGGCCCGCACCCTGCTCCCTCCCCTGGCCACGGCCTGCTGGCCCCGAGCGCCGGTTTCTGTTATGCGTTCGCGCAGGTACGCGTGGGTGTCCACGGCGAAACGCGGATTGTGCACTTGGAATTGCTCTCTACACGCAGAGACCCGCCTCAGGGCAAGTCTTCCCTAGGACCCATGACATTTACGGCTTCCGCCGCAGAACCCACACGCTTGTCACTTTCGGAGAGGCTCTCGGCGGCAGGCCCCTGCTGTGCGCTGCGTTCTGGGGCTCACAGGACCTGTTATCTGCCTCGGAACCGCCGTCCCCGGGCTTGCGTGACCCTCACGGCAGTGTCGCCTGTGGAACTGCGTCCAAGCCGGGTTGGTGCAGACCGGGTATTCCGGCCGCAAGGGTCCGCCTCTCCACCTGGCGCGCCTGGCTCACTTCTGCACACCTCCACGGCTCACCTCCTGGTTTGAAGGCGCGGGGTTTGGGGACACAAAGACGAATCACGAGCACGGATTGATTTGACCCGGGACAGAAAAGGCTGGCACCGCCTACCCGGACGCGGACACGCATCCCCTACGGGTTTGTTCCAGGAAGCTGGGGGGCGTCCGCGGGGGGCAGGCGGGGAACTGTGCGCACCGACGCGTGCGGGGGAGCCAGGCTGGGTCTGGGTCCCCAGAGGGAGGGTTGAGGCGCGTGTCCGGGTCCGCGCGCCCCGGGAGGGTGCGGAGGCGCAGGCAGGGCCTGGGTAGGGCCTGGGGGAAGCCCTCTTCGGGGAAGGAGGACCAGGGGTTCCCGGAGGGCGAGAGGTCAAGGCGCTCGCTGGGGAGCGAGCAAGGTGCGCGACGCTGACGCAGGTGCGCGCGGCCCCGCGTGCCGAGGTTCCCAGCCCGCCTCCGGCCTCCGGCCGGTCCCTCTACTGTGCGCGGGTCCTAATGCGCGCGTGCGGAGAACCGGAGGGTGCGAGCGACCCCCGGCCCTGCGGAGCCCGCGTCCGCGTCGTTCTCCCCAGATCCCGGTGCCACCCGAGGTGGGCGAGGGCCTCACGACAGGCAGGGAGGCCGACGCAGCTTCAAAGAGCAAACGAATGCGCATTTACACCGCACGTGTGGAACAGCACGCGCGTGTACACGATTGCGTATCAGCACGCGCGTGTGCACACGACTGCGTCTCTTAGGCGAGCGCGTGTCTGTGTGGCTGTACCCGCGTAGTCACCTGTCAGTGCAAATGCCGTCCAACGGGACGTCCCTGCACAGCCGAACTTCAGATAAGCGGGGACTCTTAGTGTAAGTGTGTCCCGCGAGGTTTTGGGGACATTTATCCGCAAGCATGATTCGTTGATGTAAATTCAATTTGAGCGCACGCGCTGCGCCCCGCCCCGGCCAACCCCCGCGGGAGCCGACCGCCTGCGCGGGAAGCGGCGCCAGGTGGCGCGGGGCTGCGGGAACTACAAGCCCCACAATGCTGCGCGGGCACCCGGGGTCCTGATAGGCTGCGCCGTGCTCTCGTCCTCCGTCACTTCCGGCCGCGGAGGTAGCTGTTGAGGCAGCTTTGCAGGGCTGGACTGACGTTCCCGGGCCCCGGGGTAAGCGGCCGCCATGAACTTCTCTGAGGTGTTCAAGCTTTCCAGCCTGCTCTGCAAGTTCTCCCCGGACGGCAAATACCTGGTGAGCGACCTCGGGGCCCCGGGGGAGGCAGCTCGGGGGTCCGCGAATACGGGCCTCGCTCCGGGGACCCGGGCGGATGCCTGGAACAGGGGCCCTGGGGCACGGGGCTCAGGCTGGGGTCCTGGGCGGGGGGACCGGGCAGATACCCCGAGTGGGGGGCAGGTGACCCGGGTGCATAGTAGAGCAGGGGCTCGGGTCGGGGGGCTCAGGCTGGGGTCCTGGGCAGGGGACCAGACAAATATCCCAGGGCGGGGTAGGTGACCCGGGTGCATAGTAGAGCAGGGGATCGGGGCAGAGGACTTGGGCAGATGCTCCAAGCAGGAGCCCCAGGAACCAGGCTTGGGCAGGTGCCAGCCTCCCTGCCCCTCGGTTTCGTCCCTCAGAGGCAGGCAACGGCGGTCCTGCTTCACACATTTGCAGATCCGAGGGCATCAGCTCATTGTCAGGCTGACATGTAAGGCAAACTCCTGACTCCGCGGGCTGTGGTCTGGTCTGGTGCAATGGTGCAGCTGCGTGGTCTTTTCCCCCCGCCTTCACCTGTGTCTGCCCCGGGCCAGATGAGTGATGGGAGGAATAGCAGTCTGTGTCCCGACGCACGGCATTGTCTGCACTCCTTTGAGCTTCTAGGACTTGGACTGTTCAATATTGGGGTGACAGCATGGTGCTGAACTCACTGAGCGACTCCGTCCGGGCCATGTAAGCTTTGAAATAGGCCAGTATCATCAGTGTATTTCCTCAGAACCTTGTGTGGGGAGGCAGGAGCGGGGAGATACTGGACGTTGGAAATCCAGTAAGAAAAGATCATGCCTTATAAAAGTGCACTTAGTTGTGTGTCTGAACTGACTGATGCCCCATGGTTCTTTCTCAGATGGGGGCTTACTGACATTCCTGTTGTTTGTCTAGGTCTTTGAGAACACAACTCCTTTGTAGAGGTGTTACTCTAAATCACGTAAACCGGCATTCAGCTAACACATACATAACGTCTTCTGCTTAATTCACCCCAGGAGCCTTGGTATGTTACTCAAAGTGCTCCCCATAAATTAGGTCTTTAAAAATCATTTCTGAAAACCCCAGTAAATTGTGGAAAGAAACACTGTATTACTTTGCTTCCTTTTTGTTGTTCTGTGGTTTCTCCGCCTTGGTGAAAATTCTGCAGGACACTCCATTATAACGTTACTGGAATCCTGTTCTTCAAAGGTCTATCCTAAATCCTAAAGAAAGTAGGTCTGTGTTGCCATTTTAATATCTTGCAACAGATTTGAGTTTCATAAGTGTTGATACAGATGTTCCATTTCATAAGGGGTTAAGTAACTGATCAGAAAGCTACACTGTGACCCCTGTTTCTTCTGATCCACAATTGCCCTCCCCTCTCCTTTTGACAAAGAAAACTCATGAGGCCCCCTTTTTTTTTTTAAGATTTCATTTATATATTTGACAGACAGAGATCACAAACAGGCAGAGAGGCAGGCAGAGTGAGAGGGAAGCAGGCTCCCTGCTGAGCAGAGAGCCCGATGCGGGGCTCGATCCCAGGACCCTGAGATCATGACCTGAGCTGAAGGCAGAGGCTTAACCCACTGAGCCACCCAGACGCCCCTCATGAGGCCTTTTTAAGATTAAAGTTCATAGAACACAAACCAATAATCTAGTTTTACATTGATAAGAATAAGAAGGAAGCCATTAACATTTAAAAATCAGTTCTTGATTTCTAAGTTGTAATCTAATATTCAATCAGCACATAAGTAAATTCAAATTATTTGCTTAGATATGGGCATTATTAACAACCATGGCCATAAACTGTGTTCAGGAAAACAGCATTGACATTTACACATTTTCGTAGTCAGTATTCGGAATGAGGCAGTGCAACTGTAGGAAAAATGTCCCTGCTTTTCCCTCCTGTGCTGGGAAAGCATAGTCGTCGTCCCACACGTCTCTTTGGAGCCTCCAGGATACCAGTGGGGTGACCTACATCTCCAGTCAGTTCTGGCACGATCCGCCTGGAGACCCACAGGTGGACAGTAGGCACCCCACAGCAGATGCCAGCCACAGTGGCAGGCCTTCAGGTTCCCGACAGACCCTTCAGGTGCTCACAGAACTCAGGGAAACAGGGGTTTACATTTGCCTTTGTGTTCAAGCACGGGATAAAGGATACAGGGGACCAGCCAGATGGGTGGGGAGATACCTAGGATAAGGTCTGGGAGGGTCTCTCTCGTGTGCAGGAGCCTCGGTCCTCATGGGGGTGGACTGCGTCATCTTCCCTGTGTGGTGTGTTCACCAGCCTGGAAGCTCTCTGACCCCCACTGTCGGCGTTTTACAGCGGCTTCCTCGTGATCAGTTGTTAACTCCATGGTCAGCCCCTCTCCGCTCTCTGGAGGATGGGATGGGGCTGAAAATTCCAAGCTTCTAACCATGGCTAGTATTTCTGGTGACCAGGAAACCCACCTAGAGTTGCTTCATTAGAACAAAAGATGCTCCTGGGGCACCTGGGGAGCTCAGTGGGTTAAGCCTCTGCCTTCCACTTGGGTCATGGTCTCAGGGTCCTGGGATCGAGCCCCGCATCAGGCTCTCTGCTCAGCAGGGAATCTGCTTCCTCCTCTCTGCCTGCCTCTCTGCCTGCTTGTGATTTCTCTCTCTCTCTGTCAAATAAATAAATAAAGTTAAAAAAAAAAAAAGAAAAAGATGCTCCCGTCACCCAGGAGGTTTCAAGGGGCTCACAGGAGTCCTGAGCCAGAGTGCGGGGCAGAGGCCGGTGCTCATGCTCTGTTCCCTCGAAGTCAGCCAGCGTTTGCACAGCACCCGTACGTTTCAGTGGGCCTCCTCAGCGAGGACCCGAGAGCCCCGTCCTCACTTCCTGTGACTCATCCGCAGGGCTCGAGCAGCAGAGCCCCTGGTTAGTTCACAGAAGTGCTCGTCCCACGTGGAAATGAGTAGAAAATGACTCAAGTGGAGAGTTTGAACAGAGTACTGTACCCTGGAATGTCAGTTTTCACACGTAGTTTGTATATTTCGACTGTATCCTGGAGGACTTCTCTGTTTGGAGCGGGCGATGCAGTTGGGAACAGGAGGTGATCCCGATGGAAGACCCGTCTGAAGGGAGAGGAGGAAGGGGCGCTCCTGCACGGAGGGGAGCACAGACGCTCTGAAGGCCCCTGGCTTTACACTGTAGACCATCGAGGCCTCTCTTTTCCCTTGCAGGCTTCTTGTGTGCGGTACCGGTTAGTGATCCGGGACGTGAACACCCTCCAGGTCCTCCAGCTGTACACGTGCCTGGACCAGATCCAGCACGCCGAGTGGTCGGCGGACTCCCGGTTCATCCTGTGCGCCATGTACAAGCGGGGGCTGGTGCAGGTGCGCTGCCGCAGGGCCCGCAGCCCCGAGGCCTTCCCAGAGCACGGCCTGGACAGGGCGATCGTGTTCTGTTGCCCTCATGGTTTGGGGGTGGGGGAAGGGCAGTGTAGTTCAAAGCCAGTTTTGTCTTAAAATTATATTAGTTCTAATGGTTTAAGTACTTTCAAAACAAGAAAACACTTAGATCTTCTTAATTTGTAACGAAATGGACTTCCGTAACAGCGTTCAGAGACCCTGAACGTGGACATCGTGGGTTTTGGGAAGCGCACATGTGGTGTACAGATCCAGAGTCTCCTGAAGGAACTCGTAGGGCTGGCATAGCCTATTTAAAACTCAGCCCACTGAGGTCACCCAGCGGTGTGGCTTCATGCTGCTGTCAGGCCCCGGCCCCTCCGGAAACACTGGGAAAGATGCCCTGGGTCGGGAGCTGGGTTCCACGTGGTCCGTGTGCTGATCTGTCGTGGTTCTGCTCACTTGTGTGTGTTGCAAACGCAGGTGTGGTCCTTGGAGCAGCCAGAGTGGCACTGCAGAATCGACGAGGGCTCGGCCGGGCTGGCGGCCTCATGCTGGAGCCCGGACGGCCGCCACATTCTCAACACCACCGAGTTCCATGTGAGTGCGCGGGCGCCGGTCACTGACGATTGCTGTGAGACCGCGAGGTAGCCGGAAAGGGGGTGCACTTCCGAGAAGGACGTGTGGCTTAAGTCGTCTGAGTGTTAGAATCACATCGTGTCGTTATGTCATCTTTTTGCCCAGTTTTAAAGAGAAAGAACAGATTTTTTAAAAAGATTTTTATTTATTCACTTGACAGACAGAGACCACAAGCAGGCAGAGAGAGAGAGAGAGAAGCGGTCTCCCCGCTGAGCAGAGAGCCTGATGTGGGGCTCAACCCCAGGACCCCGGGATCATGACCTGAGCCGAAGGCAGAGGCTTTAACCCACTGAGCCACTCAGGCACCCCAGAAAGCAGATTTTAAAAAAATTCTTCAGCTACAATTTTAAGGACTCAAGCAGACCCTCTGACAGTAGGAGGTGCGCTGAGAACCAGCTTCCGTTTTCCCCTTCAGCTGCCTGACCTGCGCCCGACCGTCGGTCACTGCTTTGTCCTTCTGTTCTTCCCACACTGGCGCTCCTGGGCCCTGGCACTGCACTGGGCTCCACATATGGACACGGGTGTTTGAGATCTAGCCCTAAGTCCCAGGATAGTAGAATTACGCCTCGGTGTGTGAAATTAGGGAATTTGGGAAGTATAAGGTGTTAGGGTAGAAGGTCTTTGGTGTTGGCCATGTTTGTTTCTGGTGCAGAAAAATCAACGAATCCCTTCAATGGTGTGATCTTTGAGGGGGTGTTAGAACCAGCATTTGGGTCTGAAACCCCCGAGGGCCGTCTGAGGTCTGGGCTCCCAGTTGCCCAGTGCGTGCCTGCAGCAAGGCAGCCAGGAGGAGGCGGAGGACCCTGTGGGATGTCCTCTGGCGCGCTGCAGGGTGTCCCGTGTGGCCTGGTCGCCTGGTCTGGGGCTCGCTCTGCCCCCAGCCTGCAGAGAGGCTGCTTCAGGGCCACGCGGCCTCACACGGCTTCAGCTTCTGCTGGAAAACCTGCTCTAGCTGTGGTGTCTGCGGACACAGGCTGCGGGAGAGGGAGCGGGACACGACTGGTTTCTCTGTGGTGCACACGTAGACACTTGCAGCTCGGAGTCCTCAGATGCGGGGCTCTGAGCTGTGTAAACGGCCTTGCCCGACCGTCTCCGTGGCTTGGACCTCTGGGGCCAGAGCCCAGTCTCCAGACGGGCATGTTCCACGGGCTCCCTGCCTCCCGTACGTCCCCATGACAGTTGTGTCCTTTGGACAAGGCACCAGGAGTCTCAGAAGGGAAACTGGCATGTGCCTGCACACACGCGTGCACACACTGCTGTTTGGTCGCGTGTGTGTAAAGTTTATTACCGGAGTTTGTGCTCTGCACCCTGTGGCAGTTCTGTCCCCCGATGGGGTTCAGTTCCTGCGCACGGAAGGCGTGGCTTGTGCTTCCGGCTCCTCGCGGAGATCATGCTGTGCCGCGCCGGGACCACGCGTGACCTGCGTGGACGCCCTGTCTCTGCCCTGACCTCGGGGACTGCCTGGGTGAGGCAGGTGGCATTCAGCTTTCCGAAGCATTTGTGTCCGGCTTTAAAACGACCCGGCCCACGAGAGCCACAGGCTGTTGCCTCTGGCTTTAGTTTTCATTTCTCCATCAGTGAGGTCGAGTGCCCCCATGTCTTATTTTACACACCTGAACACTCTCATTCGTGAGGTGTGTGAAGTGTGAGTCTCATGCTTCATTTAAGTACGTGATTCAGGTTTGTGTGGAGCCCGAATGGCGTATGGGGTGAGGTAGGGATCCACTTTTAGCTTTTTCCCAGCAATGTTTATCAAGAACTGAATTTCTTTATATTTGCAGGACATTTTTGATTTTTAAAAAAACATTTTTAATAGATTTTTTAATTGATGTATTTATTTGAGAGAGAAAGCAAGCGCAGGTGAGGGCAGGGCAGGGGAGGGAGAGGGAACAGGAGAATCCCAAGCAGACTGCTGCACTGGGCGTGGAGTCCAGCTCGAGGCTCGATCCCGGGACTTGAGATCCTGACCGGCGCCGAAACCGAGAGTTGGACATTTAACTGACTGAGCCACCAGATGCCCTGAACGTCTGATTTTTCTTCCTGTTCGGTTGTTGGTCTGTGGATGTGCCCGTTGCACACAGTCTGAGCCCCTGGGGTTGAGAGCGTATCAGCGTCTGGGGGGGTTTCTGAGCGAGCGCGTGAGGCTGTCACTGGCCGAGCCCGGCGAGGCCGTTGTCCTGCGCTTGAACCTCTGCTGTGCCTCGTCCTTCTCCACCTCGCACGAGTCTTCCTGCCCCGTGGCCGGTTGTCACGGCCGTGCTGGTCACGTGACTGGCTCTTCTGCTTCGGGCCTGTTCCTCCCCACGTTGCCACATCCCGGCCCCAGTCAATGGACAGACTTTCTCATGCGCGTCCGCAAAGCCAGTCCACTACTGGTGAGCGGAATCCCCCACTTCTGGCACCTGCAGTGTGGGAACAGGGACGCCCTGTCCATCCCCACGCTGGCCCCAGGGGCCACGTTCTCTGTCAGTGGGACCACGTGGCAGGCAGGCGGCCACTGTGTGGCGCCGTGCCGTCGAGGGGTCCGTGGGTGGCTCCGGTGCTGGGCGCCGCCGTGCTGCCCGGGGACAGGCGTTTGCTTTCCACCTGCCCTGGGACACACGGCGGGCTGTTTCCCACGTGCGCCGTGATGAGCAAAGCCGCTCTGAGCGTGCACGGGAGTGTGTTTCGGGGAGCCCCTGGGGTGGGATGCCAGGAGGTCCCCGCGGGCCATTTTAGGAAGCGGCCGACGCGTCTCCCACGCCCTTCTGCGCCCCGGCCACCGGAGGCGAGAGCTCAGGAGCCCTGAGTCCCACTGACGCTCGTCACTCCAGGTTTCTGCTCTTGGTGCTGTGTCGTGGGGTCTCCTTGGGGTCTGGTCTGCGTTTTCCTTGTGACTAAGGACACTCGGCAGGTGGTGGACTTCCACGCCGGCCGATGGGAAGGGCACAGAGACAGTTTTCAGAAACAAAACTAGGCTCTTCACTTGTAGGCTCTGAAGGGGTCTGGGGGTTGTAGACCCTCAGTATTGGTTGCAGGTGCAGATGGGGGTTTGGATACACGAGTGTTGTGAAGCAGAGGCCCACGTCCCCTCCGGGCTTTTCCTGGGCACGTGGGGCCGTGTCCATACCGCCGAGCACTCAGGTGGGAAAGGAGAGGACGGGCGGCTGCCCAGTGGTCAGCCCAGACGCTGCCGTCTTCGGAGGCACAGGGGGAGTCAGGCCGACCTCCCTCAGTGCTGGGGACCCCGGTGTCCCCTCCAGCGTCCCCTCCAGCGCCCCCACACGGGGACATGTGTCTCGGACTGCAGAGCCTCTGCAGATCTGTTGCAGGAGGAAAACCGTCATTCCTTGGAAATTTCAAACCTCAGCGCACTTACGTTGGACCTTGTGTCTGTCGCCTACGTTACAAAATGAAAACCAAATACCAAGGGCGCGACGTTTCACAGCAGAAAACCTCCCTGGAACGACACTGGTTTTAATTCTGCAGCAAACGGCTTACTCACGTCACGGAGTGGGAGACTGTGGGAGGCTTGAAGCCCGTCTCGGAAACTGCGAAGTCTACACTGTTTTCTTTCCCCTTTTCCTCAACAGCTGCGGATAACTGTCTGGTCCTTGTGCACGAAGTCTGTGTCTTACATCAAGTACCCGAAAGCCTGTCAGCAGGGTGAGTGGCCGGAGCGGCTCTGAGCCTTCCCGCGTGGCTGGGGTCAGGGGAGCGCGTGCCTTCTCTATCACGGACACTTTGTGGCACATGTAGCCTCAGCAGCGTGTCCGTGCGTAGCCAGCCCTCTGCCTCCGCACCCAGGCCTGCTAATGCCGCATCGGTGACGTCCCACGCGTGTCTCAGAGGACGAGGTAGAATCAAAGGGCCTCAAAGAAGTAGGGTTTACACGTGGTCCCCTTCCCTGTCGGAGGACTGGGCCCAGGTGCCTTCAGCTCATGCCCCTCCCGGGAGCCGCCCCCCCACCCCAGTTCTGAACTTCAAGCCTCTAGGCCTCCTGGCGGCTACCCCTGTGGCCGCCGTGCCCGGAAGTGCAGTCAGGTGACCTCGGGAAGGTGCCGCGCGCCCGGCCCGCTGCCGCCAGGGGCTCGCGGGACCAGTTCCTGAACGTGCAGTCTTAGTCTTTCATTTCACGAGCAGAATGAGGCCTTGCACGATTTGAATATTTTTCCATTTTTCCTGTTGCCATTAGCAGTTTGGAACTTGAATGAAATGCAACTGCACGTTCGTTTTGATCGGTACAACTTGGATCTCAGTGTCTCTCCGGAAGGCAAACACATCTCCTGAGTGGAAGCAAAGTCGTCTGTGTGTTCTTCTGGCTCACGATGCGTGAGATGTGACCCAGGGCTTTTTGAGCTCATACGGAACTGGAAAATTAACATTTTCAACCGAAGTCTATTTCCAAATTTTTTGCTTAAGTTCACTTCTTCCAAGTAGTTAAATTCAAAAGTAAAAATTCAACGTGTAATGACAACCGACTTTAAACCAGTGGAATTCCCTGTGACTTATTTTCTAAAGACGTGACGACCCGTGTCCTGTGAGGTGCGAGGCGCACCTTTTAGTAACATTCCGCGGTTCCCGGGTTTTCTCGCAGGTCCCGGCCCGGGGTCCGCGGGGTTCTGCAGAGCAGCCCAGCGGGTGCTGGAGCCCGGACCACAGTCACTGCGTGGTGGCTCTCCTGTGGGCTGCGCACACCCGTCCCTTCCCGCGGCCTCTACTTCCCTTCCCATGTCCCGTCCCTCCTCGAAAGTGCGGTTCCTCCTGCCCGGCCGTGGACAGCAGGCCCTGTTCCTCTCGGCAGGGATCTCCTTCACCCGGGACGGCCGCTACCTGGCGCTGGCTGAGCGGCGCGACTGCAAGGACCACGTGAGCGTCTTCGTCTGCAGCGACTGGCAGCTGCTGCGGGTAGGGCGAGCTCGGGGAGCCTGCGGGCGCGGGGGCGGCAGTGTGACATCCTCTCCGAGTGCGGAGCATGGGCCCACCTGGTGTGCGGCGGACGTGACGAGCCGCCCTTGGGAGCCATTTTCCTTTTGTTGGCGTAGCGGGATTTGCGTGTGTGTTGCTGTAGGAGGAGGGGGAGTGCCTACTCTGGGCAAGATGCCAGGGTGCTGGGGTCCCGGCAGCCCAGGGCACAGAGCCCTGCCCTGGCCGGGCTTACATCTGCGGGAGGCCGAGTGCAGAGAAGCTTCTGGAATGGGAATGGCCATTCCATCAGAGCACCAAGGAGTCCTCGTTGACTGGGCACGGAGGGTCCTGGCACAATCTTGCCTGAGTTGGCCTTGCAGGAGTGAGGCTGAGCCAGGCGGGAAGAGGAGGGAGAGGGGAGCACGGGGAGGGCAGCGTGAGGGGCTGTGCTGGGCCCTGTCCTGCCTGGTGGGCTGTAGCCACGTGCTGGCCAGCCTGGGACCTCCTTGGTGCTCTGGCAGGATTTTAATTATGGAAGGACAGAGCTGTAGATATTCTTGTCCATTTCTATATAAAGAAATTAAATACTAAATGTGTAAAATAAAAACCTCAGTTATAAATTGTGCCTTTGTTTAAGAAAACACTTTTAAAAATAATGTTTCTGCCTTTTGCCTTTGGAAGCACTTTGATACGGAGACCCAGGACCTCGCAGGGATTGAGTGGGCCCCAAACGGCTGTGTACTGGCGGTGTGGGACACCTGTCTAGAGGTACAGAAAGTGACCAGGTAGACCTCTGTGACTTAAGCGCTGTGACCTGTGTTTACCTGAGGTTCTGCGGCGGCCCGGTTAGCCTCCTGGGCTCCGATGTGGAGCTGCAGTCCTTTCACCACAAAGTCCTTACGTTTGTGGCCAAGGTCCCCACTGTCGCCCCTGGGGGGGGCCTGTCTTCCCTCCAACGTCCCACGCGCTGTCCCAGTCCTGCTGGCAGGTGTCTGTGTCCTTCCCGGGCTCAGGTCAGCGCCAGACTCAGCCACCGTGGTGTCTCCATCAGTACAAGGTCCTGCTCTACTCCTTGGACGGCCGGCTTCTGTCTGCCTACTGTGCCTACGAGTGGTCCCTGGGCGTCAAGTCGGTGGCCTGGAGCCCCAGCAGCCAGTTCCTGGCAGTGGGAAGCTACGATGGGAAGGTGAGGACAGAGCAGCGCACGCGGGGACGCCGAGGGCCCAGTGCAGGCCGGGGCCTCACGCGCATGTTCTCTCCCCAGGTGCGCATTCTTAATCACGTGACTTGGAAAATGATCACAGAGTTCGGGCATCCAGCAACTGTTACTAATCCCAAAATAGTAAGTCTGGAATGCGGGCCTCCATCAGGGCAGTATTTGAAGGGAGGTAGAAAAATGCGCTTTTTTCTTCACACTGTTCCTTGTGATCCAGGCACTTATATCACTAGAAACTTCTGTCACTGTGTTTTTCTTCTCTCTCTCTTTTTATTTATTACTTATTTTTAAAGGTTTTATTTATTTGACAGACAGAGATCACAAGCAGGCAGAGAGGCAGGCAGAGAGAGAAGGAGGCAGGCTCCCCGTTCAGCACAGAGCCCGATGCAGGACTCGATCCCAGAACCCTGAGATCACAACCCGAGCCGAAGGCAGAGGCTCAGCCCACTGAGCCACCCAGGCGCCCCTGTCTCTTTTATTTTATTTTTTATTTTTTATTCTATTATTATTATTTTTAAAGATTTTATTTATTTATTTGACAGACAGAGACCACAAGTAGGCAGAGAGGCAGGCAGAGAGAGAGAGAGGAGAAAGCAGGCTCCCTGCGGAGCAGAGAGCCCGATGTGGGGCTCGATCCCAGGACCCTGGGATCATGACCTGAGCCGAAGGCAGAGGCTTTAACCCACTGAGCCACCCAGGTGCACCCCCTCTCTCTTTAAAAAAAAAAAAAAAAAAAATTTGACAGAGAGAGAGAGAGAGACAGCGAGAGAGGGAACACAAGCAGGGGGAGTGGGAGAGGGAGAAGCAGGCTCCCTGCTGAGCAGGGAGCCCCATGCAGGGCTCAATCCCAGGATCCCGGGATCACGACATGAGCTGAAGGCAGATGCCTAATGACTGAGCCACCCAGGTGCCCCCAGAAACTTCTGTCACTGTAACATTTCACAGGACTAGAAAGAGTGTCCTTGCCCTATCCCTCCCCCTCCCAGATGGCACAGATCTGCCCCTGCTCTCGGCACTGTAACCAGGGTCTCCCACCTGCAGGCACTGAGCATCTAGGGCTGAGAACCAGACCAGAAAAATAGAGAGTGGGTGTCCCTGAGCAGGCAGGGACTGGCAGTGTGCTGAGGGATCACAGCGTCAGATGCCAGGAAGAAGTGATACAGGATCTGAGGGAGAAGCGGTTCAGGCAGTGGAAACAGGAAGTGCAAAGGTCCTGAGGCAGGTGCTGGGGGGCGGGGGCAGCCCAGCAGGGGACAGACAGACCCTGGCCTTGGGGAACTTGCCCACAGATGAGAACCATGAGTGAAAACAGAAGGAAGAGAGGGGGATACCTAGGGAAGTCAGGCTCAGGCGGGGCCCTGAGGAGGCACTGGGCTGGAGGTGTGGGCAAGGTTGTGGGAGGCCGAGTCCAAGCGGGCTGGGCCATACTGCCCTGGAAGGGTGTGCTACAGGTCCTTCCAGCCACAGCCCCAGCGCCTTCTAAAGCTGTAGGGCAGGCCGGGGCTCCTCACCTCCTTGGGCACGGGCCTGTCAGGCCTCAGTCCGCAGAGGCCCCCTCGTTTCCTGGGCTTGCCCCCTGGGAAATGCCTGTGTGCGCTGGCCGAGCAATGCAGGTTTGTACGCCGCCGGCACACACGGAGGGCGTTAAGAACCCCACGAGGGAGCGGGTGTTGCTGGGCAGAGCCCCTCCTGTCCCCGGGAACAGCAGCCCTTGCCACGAGGTCAGACGTCACCATTATCAGGTGCTGTCACCGCCTGTTCCTGCCCGTGCTGCGCGGGCCGGCGGCAAGACTGTCGTGTGTTCCAGGTGGTGTATAAGGAAGCTGAGAAGAACCCGCGGCTGGCGCTGGGCCGCCTGGCCTTCCCCCCACCCAGGGCAGCAGCCGGCGCGGCCTCCAGCACGGAGAGCAAATGTGAGCAGCAGAGGGCCGGGGCCGTCCATGTTCTTCTTTCCTTTTTGTTTTCTAAGATTTTATTTATTTATTTGGCAGAGAGAGAGACCACCAGTAGGCAGGGAGGCAGGCAGAGACAGAGGGAAGCAGGCACCCGTTCAGCAGAGAGCCTGGTGCGGGACTCGATCCCAGGACCCTGAGACCATGACCTGAGCCGAAGGCAGCAGCTTAACCCACTGAGCCCCCCAGGCGCCCCTGGACATTGTTTTTGTCCTTTAGCTATATTTTCCCTTTCCTGTAACACCTCTCAGCCAGCAGCCCTCACTCGGGGAGCGGCAGAGCGGGGGGGGGTGTTTGCTGATTGCCTCTAAGTGCTGGAACCCAGGCTTGACAGCTGGTGCTCCGAGGGCGATCTCCCTAATGACTGGGCAAATGCCCCCGGTCAGCGAGAGGGGTAGGAGCAGTCCGTCCGGGGCCTGCAGCCGCGGGGCTGCTTGTGGGTCTCGGCCGGGGGGTCCCTGCGTCTGTGCGGCGCCATGCAGGCTTTCAGACAAGAGGGGGCACTGGAGCAGTGGCCAGGCTGGGCTCTGTCAGCACCCCCGGGGGGCGGCCCGGACCCAGCGAGCACACTGCCCCCCCCCCCCCCGGCCTTCTCATCCTCTTACGACCTTTTGCTGCAGGTCTTACGTCGTTTAAGACTTTCCCGTAGAGCAGTTTACGTGTACAGCAAAGTGAGGGGAAGGCCCCGAGTTCCCACACGCCCTTGCCCCGCGTGGCCGGGCACCTCCACCCTGTGGACCCCGCTGCTGCAGGTGCATCTGCTGCCTGGACGCGGGACACGGCTAAGCCCCTACTTCATAGGCGTTTGCCTGACGTGTTCACATGCCGGTGTCGTTCTGCGGGAGGGCCGGGGGGGCGGCCACGGTGGGGTCTCAGATGTGCAGGCCACGACTGCCCCGCAGCACCCCCTCTTCCAATGTTCTAGACGAGATCGCCTCCGCGCCAGTTTCCTTACAGACTCTGAAGCCCATCGCTGACCGAGCAAACCCGAAAGTCGGCATAGGAGCGCTGGCCTTTAGTCCGGACAACTACTTCCTGGCGACAAGGAATGGTCAGTGACCACAGGCCTGCACCGGGCCTCTCGCGGTTTCCTTGGGTGCCCAGGCATTCAGAGCCGAGAAGAAACCAGGTGTCAGGCTTCCCGGAGTGCTGCGTCCGCCCTGGTGCTGGCACAGTGTGCCCACAGAAGCTTCTGGAGGCGCAGGCCTTGTCTGGCAGAGCAGCAGCCAGTCGACTGCTGGCCTTGTCCTCTGTTTGGTGAAGAACAGGGTCCAGACAGCATGACAGCCGAGGGCCCGTTTTAGACAGGGAGGGTGTTTATGGTTTTTCAGGGCATAGAAACAGTCGTCAGGCCTGTGAGCCTGGGGGGAGGGGCAGGGGGTGTGCGGCCCATGAAGACCCCAGAGCAGCAGCACCCATGGGTCCCGTGGCCCAGGCTTTGGGGCGCGGGGAGGAACCGAGCACCTGCCGCATCTTCCCTCCTCAGACAGCGTCCCGAATGCCGTCTGGATCTGGGACATACAGAAGCTGAAACTCTTCGTGGTGCTTGAGCAGCTGTCCCCGGTGCGCTCCTTCCAGTGGGACCCACAGCAGCCCCGGCTGGCCATCTGCACGGGCGGCAGCAAGGTGTACCTGTGGTCACCTGCGGGCTGCGTGTCGGTGCAGGTGCCTGGGGAAGGTGAGCACAGCGTTCCTGGGTTCCTCCTGGCTGGCTGCAGGCGGGACTCCAGCGGACGGGCACAGCCTGGCTCGTTTGTGTCACTGTCCGTGTCTTCGGGTAAACGTCCCAGCCAGTCCCCAGCGTGCACAGCCTGGCATTGGCCAGGTTGTAAGAAGGCCCCCTGAGCTGATCTGGGGCTGTGGCTGGGTCTCTCTGGGCCTGTCCTCTGCCCATGGGGTGTGGTGTTGCTCTCAGCCTTTAACCCTCTGGCCACCTGTCTTTCTCCAGGTGACTTTCAGGTGCTTTCTCTGTGCTGGCATTTCAGCGGGGACTCACTGGCCCTTCTCAGTAAGGACCACTTCTGTCTGTGCTTCCTGGAGACCGAGGAGAGAGTTGGCACAGCCTTCGGACGGCCGGGTGACCACACCTAGGCCATGTGCATATCCGGGTCCTGGTGAGACCGAGGCAGGACGCCTGGCATGTGCCGGCTGCAGAGAAGGGATGGGCTTTCCTGGTCGTTACTCCAGCCATGGTGGCCCACAGGAAATGATGTGCTGTTATCTTTCTATAGCATTTTTGTAAATATGTATGGTACTAATTTTTATCTAAAACAACTATTTCCTAATTCACAAAATGGCTGATGGCTTGTGTTCATGGAAGGTTTGGTTATGGAAGGACTCCTTGTTTCAGGTTTTGGAGTCACTGACAGGAAGGAGCTAACCCCGTTTCTCCCTCAGGTGGACACCTGCTCTGCTCTGGGGCCCCGATTCCCCGTCACTGGGTGGTGTTTCTGGAGAATGGGCTTGGGCTTCACATGGGCAGCGTTCTGGAGTGCAGGGAGGGGAGCCCTGAGCGCTGGAAGGGCGGTGCCACATGGGGAGGCAGGGAATGCAGGCCCCAGGGCCTCTGGGTCAAGGTCAGGTCTGCAGAAGAGTCCCCCCTGGCCTTCCGTCCATGGCAGTTCCAGCCCCCTCTCAGTCCAGGTGCTTCTGACAGCGGCCAGGGCGGAGAAGCACCAGGGCAGGAAGCAGGCTTCCAAACCCGGGTTCGTCAGCCCGGCTAAAGGCTCAAGGCGGTTTGCTCGCCACTCTCAGGTTTTCCTCTGAGCGAGCTGCAGCAGGGCAGGGACTCCTCACCCGACTTTGCAGCCAGCTGGCAGACTCACAAGGCGAACAGCTTCAAAGAAGGAAAGACATCTGTTCGACTGTAAATGTCTTTACTACGAGACCAAAAGCGAAGGCTCGAGACCCGGGTGGCGTGGAGGCAGCCTTTCGATGCGCACAGGCTGCCGCGTTTGGGTCCCAGCCATGCCAACTAGAGCCATGCCAGAGCTGTGGATGCGGAGGGAGAAACCGTGAGCCGGCACTTCAGGCTGGGGACACGTGCTCCCAGTCGAGCCGGCAAGCCGAGGGCAGGTGCGCGAGTGGGTGGCGCGCTGCGGTGCCGCCTGGACACGCTCTGCTGGCTGCCGCGGCTCAGGCGTCCTCAGGGCCACATGGACGGCCTCAGGTCGGCGTGGGCGCGGGGGTCACCGAGCGGGGGGTCAGCAGCATATGAGAGGAGACTCTAATACGGTCCCTTTTTTCAAAAGGGCATCTTGAAAAGCAAAGTAAGGGATCCCCATTTTAAATATGAAAATGAGAAACCAAACCTAGACGAGGCAGGGTCATCAAACTGTTTGCAAAGAACAAAGAAGGTGACTCAAATTAATGAACTGTCTCGAAGTGACTTCCTGTGGACTTCCGGGCCTGGGAAGGATGCCAGAGGTATTACACGGTACAAGTTTACAAAAAGTGTGGCTTTAGGTCAAACACATATTCACACAAAAGCAGCCGTTCTCTCGCATTGGACGAGGCCGACGGTCTCTCGCTCAGTTCAGCAGTCTGGCTTGTTCTGCATTTAGCTTTAAGAAAACGCATGAAATTTCAAAATACAAAATTGGACACCAAACAGAAAGGTATTTGCAACTATGGGCAGTGGGGTTCAGGGACCTCCCTGGACGGAGCAGTCCACAAAGCGTGAGCGCCAGCAGGGAGGTTCTGGTGGGACCACACGTTTATTAACACGCCAGAGTGCTGGGCGGGAAGGACCACGAGAAGCCAAATGCAGACACTCCAGGAAAAGCACGGAAACAGGTTCTAGAAGACGGAATACCGGCCAAGACAGGGACAGCTAGCTTCCTTTTTGTCCGTAGCTCCTATTGCCAGATGTCCACGACTCAGCTAGAGCATAGAATTCATTTGACTATTTTCTAATCGCGCTCAGACCCCTAAAGGTTCACAGCCCCGACCCTGCAGGGGCAGCAGAGCCGGCGTGTCCGACGCCCCAAGTTCCCTGGTCTGCCTGTGACAGTGTCTAGAAGCCTATTTTGCCTCTGGTCATGGAATAGCCCAATTTAGCTTCGTTGTTAATGAAGGACATCAATCCCACGTAGGTCTCAATGAGGAGGGGACGCTCCAGGACCAGTACACCGCTGGCTTGCCCCGGCAAAGGACTCTCTTTTTGGGCTTTTTTGACAGCTTGGATTAACATAGCTTTGAAGCTTTCCAACTTTAAAGAGAGAGAAAACATGTTGCCGATCAGCGATCTACACCAGGAAAACCCCACCCAGCTCTGCACCAGCCCCCCTCGCTGCCCCTGCGTGAGATGCCTTTGCAGCCACAGCCTCACAGCCTCACAGTCCCTCAGCTCGCCTTCTTGATGTGGCTCTCTGCTTAGCCCCGTGCTCACGCGGACACATGACGAGCCGCACAGGGCCTCGCCCTCCGCACGTCACAGCAGATCTGCAGTGAGGACCCACCTGATGCCCCTGCCACCTGCCAGGCCAGTGAGGAGGCCACAGTGCACGGCTGCTGAGTGGCGTCCAGCTACGGCCTTACCAGGGCCCCAGGGCGTCCTCTCCTGGTGAGCACAGACTGCCTGGAACCCCGCTGGGCCCTCCTGCAGGGCGATGGTGGCCACAAGGGGCCAGGCTGCACAGCCACACTGACCAGCAGCCACTAGCCACATGGGGCTATTTAAATGTAAGCTAACACTTCTAAAATTTAGAAGTCTGTTTCCTCAGTTTACTATGACCGTTTACATGCCCCACGGCCACACGTGGCCGCCGTGGGGAGCAGGGCAGCGTGAGAACGCTGCCATCGCAGCTGGGAAGCGCGGCTCTTAGGGTCTTACTTGGCACAGAGAGGCCGTCTTCTCATCCGCACCGGCCATCGGGTGCTCTATGAACGTGGTGTAGGGCACGTTGGTGGACCAGGGGTTCCATCTGTTTATGAAGGAAGGACGGCTCTGCTTGTCCCACTGAATGCGAATCCCGAGACCGTCTCGCCTACAGAGAAGAAACGAGCTCACTCGGCAGGCCCCAGCGCTCCCGGCAGCCCGGTCGGGTGTGGGGAGTGACACCGGGACGCTGCTCCACGGCCACAGCCAAGACCTGCGGCGCTTCCAGCAGAGAAGAACTTCTGGGCTCCGGGAGTAACCGCGGTCGCCGGTCAGCATGCGCCGCGCGCTCTGGCCGCGACAGACCGAGTACTGGTGACCCCGATCTTCCCACGATTACTGCAGGTTAAGGGGCCACGGGAAGACTCTGTGGCCGGGCTGCGCACACCGATGACACGCCGGCAACTTTAGGGCTTTGTCCCCAAGTTCTCGCTGAGAGCTGGCGCCCTCGTCCCCAAACCCAGGCCCTGCAGCGGCTCGAGGCGGACAGCCCAAGCCTCCCAACCCAACTGGTCTAGGCTGCACACGGTTCACTCACTCTGTCCTGACCCGGGCCACGACTGTTCTCACGTTTAACGTGCAGGACGTGTGTAAATGGACGTCACACACGACCCTGTTCCCGTTAGAACAGCCAGAGCAGAGCCAGACAGGACCAGTCACCCCTCCCTGGCCAGAGGTAAAGTGCTGGTCCAGTCGGCTCCGTCTCACCGCGAGCCTCGCCGCTCTCCCTCCAGCGCACCCGCGCCCGCAGCCCCGCACCGCCCACCGCAGCGGGCCTGCGACTTCCGCATCTGCAGACCCAAGGCCTCCTGTGGGCCGGCCGGGAAGCGGGGAGGGGGGGGGCGCGGCCGGGAAGCCGAGGCCCGGGGCGGCTCCGCTCGCGGACTTACTTGTTGAGCGACTTCGGGGGGAACTGGAACTCCCCGCAGGAGATGGTGTCCACCGCGCTCAAGGCCACGCGCACCACCTGCCGGCACTGAAGGCCGATGAAGTCGTACTTGCAGATGAGCAGCGCCTGGTCCGTGATGAGCACCAGCCGCTCCTTCTCGTTGTTCCAGTGGTCGACCCTGCCCGCACACGGCCCGTCACCGCGCGGCCCCGCGCCCCGCGCCCCGCGCCCCGCCCCCGCGCCCCGCTCACTCGGTCAGCAGCCACACGCCCTGGATGTCGCCGTCCTCCACCGGCCGCACCACCACGCCGATCTCCTCCACCGCCTGCTCGATGGTGCCGGGCTGCGCGGGCAGCGGCGGTCACGCTCCGTCCGCCGCGGCCCCCCGGCCCCGCCTGCGGCCCCCGCCCCGGCCCGGCCCCTCCCCGGGACGCGCAGCCCGCCTCACCCGGAACACGAAGTACTCCTTGACGCGGGCGCGGCGCGTGGGGTCGTGGACGCTGAGCGGCCACAGGGTCTGGCGCAGCGGCGTGCCCGCGCCCGGCCGCCCCCCGACCCCGCCGCCGCCGCCCGCGCCGACCTCCTCGCCGGCCGCCAGCACCGCCGTGGGGCTCGTGCCCGCCGAGTCCACCGAGTCCCGCAGCTGCAGCATGGCCAGGCCGGCCGCCGTCCCAGACCCCGACCCCGCACTCCGCACTCCGCAGCACAGACCCCAGACCCGGCCGGAAGAGGCCGCAGTCCCGCCGCCGTCGCCACCGCCCCCGGCCCCGCCCCGGCCCTCCCCCTGGTCACCGCGGTTGGCTCGGCCCCGTAGGCCCCGCCTCAGACTCCGCCCCTTCCCGTCCCCTCCGGCCCCGGCAATTGGCTCTTCGCCAGCCGTCTCCCGCGATTGGTCCTTCCCGCCGCCAGTTCACAATCGCTCCCGCCCCTCTCCGCGCCGGAAGCGCACGCCGCGCGCACACCCATTTCCTCTTGACGCGAGGGGGGGCCCCCCCCGGGCTGGTTGCCAAGGAGACGCAGAGGGTGCGCTCGGAGTCCAGCGCCAGTTACCCGCGGAGGGGCGACTGCCCCCGCCCGCGGGCTCCGCCCCCGCCGTGCGGTGACCGTCCTCGGACGCGCCCCTCACTCCGCCGTCTCCCTCCGCCCCCTCCGAGGCCCCGCCCCCGCCCCGGGCACCCCATGCCCGCAGCCGCCGCCCCGGGACCCGACCCCCCGCTCCCCTCTTCGACGCCCCCTCGCCAGCGGTCCTGGCGTCCCCGACGCGACCGCACGCCAGGATGGGCCGAGGGTGCTGGAGGCGCTGCCCACAAGGTCCGCATGGCCGGGCGCCCCGGGCGCGGAGCTATGGGGGGGGCGGCTTCCTGCGCCCCAGCCGCTCCGGACCGCGCAGCAGCGGCCTCCCTGCGCCCAGGACGCGGCCCTCACAGAAGGGGACACGGAGGCACAGGCCACTTGTCCCTGCCACTCAAGGGTCAGAGCAGGACTCGTGCCCCCAAGTGTCCCAGCCCCGCTCTAGTCCGCCGGACCCTAGAACTGCGTCTGTTCTTCCTGGGGTGACGGCTTTGGCCGGAGCCGGGCCACTCTAGGCTTCTGCCCTGCGGTCCCCCCAGGGCGTGGTCTTGGCCCCCACAAGCCCCAGGCCGTCTTCATCACCGTCCCCCTCGGGGAACCCAGGGGCTGTGCATCCAAAGCCTCACCCTGCGGGTCACTTGGGACTGTGCCACCCCCTTACTCCCCCCACCCCCAAAGCTGTCTGGCCTCACTCATGCTGTGTCCATCCTGCAGCACCGGTAGCGGCCCCCTGCCCCAGGGCACGCTGCCATTCCCCGGGACTCCTCACTACTTCCTTCTTTGCTTGTCATCTAATAACCCACCCGCATGCACGTGCCCATGCCCCTCCGTTAGGGGAGCTCGGGCGCTGGCCTCTACGGATGCTCGTGCCTTGGGTTTATAGCCACTTTCAGAGTTCTTTAAGTTTCCCCAGCGCCCCGGGATGGCCACACACCACTGCGTGTGCCCCCCAGGTTGGAGAGGGCTGGGGGCTGGCTGGGCCCTAGAGTGGAGGCCCTCACAGGTGATCCACGACTCAAGGATGGCCCAACCTTCTGTTCCCCAGGACCTCCCCCAAAGAAGGGGGTTGCAGGGATGCGCACAGCAGGTCCTCGATGCCACTGACCGCTCCCCCTGGGATGTTCTCCCCTACAGAGACTTGGGGCCCCAGAATGTGGAGAGAACCTGCCTGGTGCGGTGGGAGGGCTCGGGTCCTGGATCCCCCACCAGAGACTGACCTGAGAATCTGCGCTTGAATAAAGACAGCCAGGAGGAAGGGAGCAGGCACAGAGCCGTCCATCAAGTACACACTCAGGCTGGGGGAGTGGGCAGGCCCAGAGGGGACAGCTGCGCTGGGCACTGCGGCTGGGGGATTTGGGATTTTTCTGTTTCCAGAGGTTATGGGTCCTAGCCAGGGCAACGGAGGCTGCGTCCAGTCATCTGAGGGACAACTCCTACTGGTCGGGGGTGGGGGAAGTTTTTGGACCTACAAGGTTCCTGCCAGAGCCGCTGAGGCCACCCCCCGCCCCCCACTCCCCGGCTGAAACCGCGGTAAGAACATTGTATAATGAGGCTGCGGGTCCCTGTGGGCTGGAAGGAAGAGTCCAGGCCCGGAACCTGCTTTCTGGGGCAGCCGGCTCCCGGAGGTGGGAGACCATGAAGTCACTGCCTCCCGCTGCCTCCCCAGGGCTCCTGTCTAGCGGCCTGCTCTGTCCATACTGGAAGAGCTTATGTGGTTTGCTCCTTGGAAGAACACAGAGATCTCACACATGCCGAGTGGGTGTGCCAGCCTGGGAGCACAGTGCTTCTACCCGCTCGGGCCTGCTGAGGTCGGGTGGGACAGAGGCCCCTGCCTTCTCTTGACCCCGGGGCCCTGACGCCCTCTTTGGGCCCTGTCCCTGGGGGAAGGTGGCAGAGAGCCTCTCTCCTCTGGCAGCCAGAGCTGGGCGGAGCCTCTCTGCCCAGTCCCTGTGGGGTGGGCCTAAATCAGGCCCCAGAGGGACTGAGCCGCTTGGGCCAGTGCCCTCTGACCCCTCTCTTGGGTCCCCTCTCCATATGGAGGGGAGTCACAGTAGAGCCAGGGACCCGTCCAGGCTGGCAGCTGTGGGCTCGGGAGGCCCTCTGTCTGGGCCTCCTCTCACAGGGTCCTGAAGGGTCCTGCAGGGTCCTGGCCCCTCTTACCTCTGTCCACGAGGACTGGCACAGTGAAGCTCTCTGTGCCTCAGTTTCCTTCTCTGTTGAGTACGGGTAATGGCCGTTCCTACTTCCAGTGGCTGTTGGGAGGCTGAAATGAGTAGATGTCTGTGGTGTGTCTAGGCCCTCCGCCAGGCCCAGGTTCGAGCCCGGTCAGTGTCACCCGTTCCCCTTATTCATGCTGGTCCCAAGTGCCAGTATGTGCACAAATATTGCCTTTGCTCCCAACACGCATGCATGGAGGGCGGTATTTCCCCCTTTTACGGAGGAGGAAACAGTCCCAGAGAGGTGGTCACTTTTTGAAGGCCACGCATTAGCCAGAAGCTAAGACCTCCTGAAGTTCCCAACCCGTGCTCCCGCCCCCACAGTCTGCTCCCGTGCCAGGGACTCCCTCGAGGGGCGGGCGGACAGGAGTCCTTCCACTGACACAGTGCAAAGCAGTGGGTTCCCGGGACAGTGACCTCCAGGGGCATCTCCCCAGCGTGGGGGTTGGGAAGGGGAACCAAAGTCCAGGAGACGAGGCTGCCAGCGGGCAGGTGTTTCCCGTGGTGGGGGTGGGGGGTGGACAACCAGCCCCCGAGTGCCCCGCCTGCCCTGGGTCTGAGTTCTGGCCTATCCGTACGTACTCAGGGCTGACTGTGGTCCCATCACTTAACCTCCCGCCTCCCTTTCTCATCTGGACAGCAGGACTGACAAAACCTGGCTCACAGGTCATCGTCCGGAGGCTTACAGGAGCTGATTGGTACAGAGGGGACCTGTCTGAACAGCCCTCCATCAGCGTTTGTGCCCCGACAGCCCAGCCCGTGGAGATGGCCGGCGAGCGCCGTGCAGGGCAGGGGAAGGCAGACTAGGGCCCGACCAGTCGCGGTGCCGAGGGAACCAGGACCCGGGACCCAGGGGTTGGGGTGCGCTTATGGCAGGAGGACACTCTCTGCTCACAGACAAGGTGGAGAGAGGTGAGTCTTGGCAGGGACAGGATGAGCATCTCTCTTCTCCAGTGGGGAGGGGGAGCTGGCACTTCGGGTAAAGGCGCTGGGAGGAGCAAGGGGGCTGATTAGATGCAAGCATGGGGGTCCCTGGACGGCTGGGGCCTCGGGCCTTTGCACTGAACCCTTCCACAGGGCGGCCACTGGGCGTGGGAGGGACCGGCGGCTGGACTAGACTAGAGAGCAGGCGATAGGCGTGTCGCTGGGTCGCTGGGGTGCAGGACAAGGGAGACGGGAGGGCAGGTCCCATGAGGAATATTTGCCGAGGATGGCAAGGGGTGAGCCTTTCACCCCACTTGGGAGCAAATAGGGTAGGCTGCCAGAGGACAGGAGACCCTGGGTCGCAGGGGACTGTCACAGGCAGGGCTGGGCGCTGCTGGCGGGTCAAGGGGGAGGGTGTCCAGCACTGTCAGAGCGGTGGTCCTTGAGGCTGCGTTTCCAGGCTGGCTGGAGGCGGCAGCGGGTCTGACAGGGACTGGTGATTGGCAGGGCAGGTGTCAGAGGAGGTCATGGGGAGGATGTGACCGCGGGTTACCCTAGAGCTGGCCCCTCACGCTGCCCTGTCATTGGGACACACGCTCTGCCCCATTCCCACGGCAGGAGCCGCCTCCAGGGCCACAGCCTTGAGGTCATGCGGTGGCGTTCAGGTCATCGCGGTGTGGTGACCGAATCCGGGAAGGCCCCTGAACAAACTTTAGCGTCAGGAGGGTGTGGCGATCTCCTTGGCTGGTGGCGCCCAGGAGAAGCCTCGCAGGGAAGTCAACCCCTTCCAGAAACCGCCGCCCCCCTTCTGCAGTGCCCGCCTCCTTCTCCCGCTCTGCCTGCCCCGGAGACATGGGGGCACCAGGAGGGACAGGAGAGATGCCCTGCGCGGGCGTCCTTGACCTCTGTGTGGGGAGGGGGCCTGTCCGTGAGACGCCTGTGGGCCGCCTCGGGTTCCTGAGTGCAGGAGGCCCGGAGATCTGCGGTGGGTCCCACACTCTGGGGAAGGGGTGCGGTGTGCACGATGGCTGGCGACGGAGGCCTGGGGTTGTGCAGTGGACTCGCCTCCCCTGTGGGGACTTTAGAGGGACAGGGAGGCCCAGCTAGAGGCTGAGGGTCGGGCCAGAAAGCTGGGCGGGGAGCAGAGGGGAGGCTGTGCGGGCACCCACCACGTCTGGCTTCCGGCCAGCAGACAAGAACGCGTGGTCTGGCAAAGCTAGGAGGGCGCAAGCCGCCACCTACGGAGGTCCCGGTGCTTGCGACGGAGCCCGAGAGGGACACTAGCCGGTGGGATCCCTGAGAAAGTGAGGCCCGCGAGGGGGAGAGGGTTGTGACCCACCGTGCACGGAGGGCCCCAGGCCGTCCGACGCCGGCGCCGTGGAGAACTCCACATGCTCATTACGCTAGACTTCCAGGACCAGAGAAACAGACGCCGAAACCCCTAGAAAACGCGTTCTCTCCGTCTCTTCAGGTTGTAAATCTCATCATGTCCGAAATGGAGGCTCCCGGGGAAAACTGGGGCGT